TGGGATTTCATTTCAATGGTTGCTAACTCAGATGTCAATGAAGATACTATAAACCCCAACATTTTCACTGCTTAGCAAATGCGGTAAGAAAGGAGAAATACCTTAGGGCTGGTCTACACTGGGAACTTACATTGGCACGGGTGAGGATTGAGAGACATAGCAGTGCCAACCTAACCCTGGTGTAGACAGTGCTAGATTGTCAGAAGAATTCTTCTGTTGACCTAGGCCTGGTCTACACTAAAAAAAATTAGGTCAGTGTAATTATGTTGCTCGCGGGTGTGAAAACTCTATACCCCCGAGTAGCATAATTAAGCCAACCCAAGTCCCCATGTAGACAGCACCTAAGTCAACAGAAGAATTCTTCCATTGACCTAGCTACTGCCTCTGGGAGGTGGATTGCCTATGCTGATGGGACAACCCCGCCTGTCAGTGTAAATAGTGCCTACACTGAAGCATCAGCATTTCCCAAAGTGTTTGAGTTTGGTTTTGTTGGGGTGTTGTGTTTTTTTGGAGGATGTGGGGGGATGGAAGGTGGATAAATTCCGATGTTAGGCCACTGACAATGCATGGCAGCATTGCAGAGAGGATGTGATTTGGCTTCATTTTCCTGAAGAGAGGCGCAACTCTTAAAAGCTTGGGAAACCCTGGTTTACCAAAACATGGGGAATAGAATGAAGTCCTTTTGTACTGGGTGTCCATTTGTACTTAACCAAGGCAAGAAACAATTTCAGGGTTAATCAAAAGAAGAAGTGTTGTTTAAACTCAGAGGAATTAAAGCAGGATCCTGCAGAGGACAAGGAAGAATGCCTTTTTCTTCCGCTCTTATTCCAAATCCCAACTGCCCTTTCTATCTTTTCCTTTCTTCCCTGTGATGGTAGGACTCGTGAATGATTTATTTGCTTGCGCTGCTTACTAGTTGTGCCAATTAAATTCATTCTACATTGTCCTCAAATAGAAATTGTTAGTCCACCTAACAGCTGTTCTGTTTATCTTATTGTTACAATGAAGTGAGCTGTAGCTCACGAAAGCTTATGCTCAAATAAATGTGTTAGTCTCTAAGGTGCCACAAGTACTCCTTTTCTTTTTGCGAATACAGACTAGCACGGCTGCTACTCTGAAACCTGTCATCTTTAATGTTATCCTCATCATGTGTCTACTTCATCCTGTCTGAAATGTAGGTTGTGGGCACCCTGAGGCCAGGGCTGTCATCTGACTACTTGTCTGTACAGTACCTAACAATGGGACCCAGATCCTAGACTGGGGTTCCTTTGTTTTCATACAAAAAAATCACAGTAAGTTTAACTAGATTTCTAGGTGGAGGTGGGGGGTGAAGTGATCGTTGAGTTGTGGTAAATTTTCAGAATTTCACAGAAGCACTGTACCAACTAACTTTGGCTTGATTTACCATGGAAATTTGCAATTCTCAACAGCATTAAAGCTGTTTAATTTCTTAATGCTATAGGGTGATTAAAACTACTACAAAGAGAAAACTGTCTCAGAACCCTTTAAAAATTCTCTTATGCTGCTGTAAGGCACATCTGTGCCTTTGTTCTTAGGTATTGTTACCTTTTCCTGTATTCTTATGCTCAAAGAATAACTATGAAGAGAGCTCCTAAAAGCCAAGGAAAGAGTGGGGTAAATACACACTTTAAAGGGTCTTACAAGTGGAAACAAAATGTTTCAAGGATAACTTTGAATTTAGGAGTCTTGATGCTGAATCCAGGTGGTTTGCTGACAAATCATAAGCGTGTACTTCTTGAGCAGGTAAAGAGAGTATTGCCAGGGGTGTGATTAGTGTCAGCTGGTGCCCAAGATAAGTGCTAGGGATGTAGGTAGTAATCTACACACATCCCTGCTTCTATGAATGGAGGCTGATCATACTTTCAAAGTGAAAAATTGGGACAGTCTGCAAAGTTAGAGGGAAGGAGGCAGCTTCTTTCCACCTCTTTCAGAATTTCAAAAACTGGGACACTTTACAGTCAAGGAGAAAGCAGTATGTATCCTTCTTCCATCCTTTTTATTATCCTCTCCTAGCACCAGTCTCTCTCCCTCCAATCTAGATCTTATCCCACCATCTCCTCCTCCCCCAACACACACACACACACACAACCAGTTTGCCCACATCGTCATTCACTATTTGACTGTTACCTCCTGCACTCAACCCATTCTCTTGCTAGTTCAGTACTGCTCCAACTCAAACTCCATCTGCTCAGAAACACCTATAAGCCAATTCCTCTCCTTTTCCTATCTAACCTCTTCATAGCTCAGAACTACCCCCTCAACCTGAATGGTCTCAAGCTTAGAAAACACTCATCCCGACTCGTACCCCTCCAGGTTAGACATCTCATCCCCAGAGTCAATTTTTCTTTTCTGACACTGAGGCTCAGAAGTCCCCAGCTCCAGCCTGTGGGTCTGCAAAGGCAGAAACAGAGGCAGCAGAGAGCATGTGGAGACAGCTGTTTACTCTGCTTAAGTGGGGCTAGTGCCACACACCTGAATTTCCTGCTCTCTCTCTCATCTCTCTGCTGCTTGTGCTGTAGGGTAGGAAGGACTCTGGTGTCGTCAGGTGTAGTGCAGCCTCCACAGTCCACCAAGAGTCTCCTAGTGGTACAAGCTGGTACTGCATATTTGCCACACTGAATTGTGACAATACTGGTGGGGCTTAGTGCCTAAAAGCCAGGAATGATGTTTATATCCAGCCGAAGCTCAGTGGAAAGGATATGCTTTTGCTGTTAATGCTTCTGCTATTGCTGTATCTGTGCTACAAAATACACTTGTTGAAGAACAAGATGGACATCTGAATGCTGTATTGTTACAAAACCGAGATAGTAGTGCTGTTAAATGCTAAGAGCATTCTCCACCATAAAAATTGGTAAAATAAAAAGATCAGGACTTGTTGTAGCCAGTATTCCAATGTTAATTCAGCTGCCCTAGTTACCAAGAAACAGAGGTTCAAAGGAAAAAGACCCCTGAAAAAAATCATTTTTCAGAAGTCCCTGTTTTTTTCCCCATAGAGCATAAGGAATAAAGAAAAAATGCTCTTTTTATACCACATCTGGTAAAGCACTATTCTTCAGATTAAAATCCTACATGCCCAAAGCAAACTGTAAAGGCTATATCATAAACCCCCAAAAGTGGTTTAGAATGGAAATATCCATATATCCTTTGTTATAGAAGCCTGGTGAGGGATTGCTTAAAGGAGATATGTACTGGAGAATGTGCTTCTGCAAATTTTATTCCCTTGCTAATGGAACTTAAAGAAGAACTGTGCATCTAAGTGCCCCATTGTACATGCAATTACCCAGCCTGTATATGGCCAGTGTAGGCTTCTTCAAACAATAGGAAGCATCCTCAGATTGAGGTCACTGCTGAATAATAGGCCTTTTTCATAGAATATCAGGGTTGGAAGGGACCTCAGGAGGTCATCTAGTCCAACCCCCTGCTCAAAGCAGGACTAATCCGCAATTTCTGCCCCAGATACCTAAATGGCCCCCTCAAGGATTCAACTCACAACCCTGGGTTTAGCAGGCCAATGCTCAAACCACTGAGCTATCCCCCTCCCACCACCTTGATACCTGCATAAGACCAAAACAAAGAAATCTTGGTTGATGGCAAATTTCCTACTATCTATAATAATATAGGGCCTGATCCAAAGTCCATGGAGACTATTGGGAACAACAGCATTCCAAAATAATTCCAAATTCCACAGCATAACAAAGACAAACAATCAGAATCTTATAGAGTCATTTTTGATGTGCATTAGCTTGTATCCACTAGCATCAGTAAATGCAGCCAGAGCCGTCCCTTGGATAGGGCAAATTGGCCGGTGTGACTGGCCGGCACAGTTGGTCCTGGAAGATGAATCTGTCACTTCCGCAACTACCCTGTTGTTGGCAGTTAGCGGGAGACAGCACCCGGCTCGGCCACCCGCGTTTCGGTGCAGCAAGTCCCCCGACCTGACCGGAGCCCTGAGCCGCCGTGGCGCTATGGCCAACGATAGCCCCAGGGTAGGCACCGGCAACTGCCAGCAGCAGCAGGTGGCCCACCGGCCCAGCCGCTGATGCAGAGTGGAGCCCTCAAGTCAGCGGGGGCTGATTTGTCCCGGGCCTCTCATCCTCCCTAGAGACGGCCCTGAATGCAACATGTCAAAAGTGATAAGTATTGGAGACCAAGCTTTTCCCTCCTCCTTTCCCTGCCAAATAGTTACTGAATTTATTCAGAGCAGGAATGAACATGACAAACTGAAGTGTTTCATCATAGGCAGTGGATTATTTTCCCGATTGTAGTATTTTCAGTAATTTATTTACGGTGAGGCAAAACTGTAGGAGGTGATTTCACTTCTATTGTTTATTTCTAATTGGAAGAAAATATATTCCAAATGTGCTGTTATGTGATGCATACACAGTCAGGCTAAACAGACAGAATAGTACAGAATATATCAATTGTTGTACTTCTACAGCTTAATTTTATTTGCAAGGCAGCCATCCATTTGCTTCAAGCTCCTAGCCAGTTACCACTTGCTAGTTTATTTGCCCTCCTCATAAAAAATAATTTAGTCATGCTGATTTAACACTTAATTTTTAAAAATTGCTTTCCATGCATCTTCTTACATAATTAATAAAAGTAGAAAGCCTGCTTGGAAAGGGCATTGTTTGAAAACCATATGTCAGGATGATCATCTGGCCTTGGGCTGCAGGAACTAGAGAATGGGTGAACATTCTGCAGTTGTTTTGGCTGTGATTATATGGTGCATGGCAACTTGCCAGTAGCAGTTAAGTAGCAGTAAAAGGTCTAGAATGTCAGTGGTTTCCTCTGTGTATTAGCACAAAGATCATTTGCAATTTAAGAACCATCTCAGAAAGGGTTTACAGCAGATACTGAAGGATTTGAAATTACAAGAAATAAAAGGGCGCTGAATGCTTATAGTGGTATCTGCACATGCCCATTCTTAGTTTGGCCCTCCATGGCTGACACCTCTACCCTTTTCCCCTTCTTTCCAGAACACTTGAAAGAGAAGTTGGAGGAGTACATGGCCCGTTTTGCCAAAGTGAGGATTGTGCGCACCAAGAAACGAGAAGGGCTGATTCGGACCAGATTGCTGGGAGCCTCAATGGCTAAAGGAGAAGTCTTGACGTTCCTGGACTCCCATTGTGAAGTCAACGTGAATTGGCTACCTCCATTGCTTAGTAAGTGCTTGAACATTAATTGGCCATTAATGTCAGAACACATGGTATAGTTCCAAGAATTAAACTTGTGCCCCAAAATAAGCAGATCCTTGCACTATATAAAAAGGTTAGTACTGTACTGCAGGTGGCCTGTGACAATTCTGATATCCCCCACACAGCATGAGATTTCTAGACCTTCATATACAGTACACCACCTATTTTTGCTGCAATAATTGGACAGATATATATACTGGTTACCTGGAAAAAGTCCGTATAAGAAAGAGCTTGTTTGTTTGACAAAACACAGGAATCTGAACTTCTTTATTCCAGAGATGACTAGTATAACTTCTGCAATATAGTTCTGCTCTCCCATAGCTTAATTTCTTTTTTTAAAAAGAGACCTCTAAATCTAGTACTAGGTAAGGAATGTACTGTAAACCTAAGAGCATTAAGTAATGTTTGGTATGCACTATTGTACTCCTTAGTCTTCCACGGTCCACTAAATCAGCTTTTGTTGTAAATATATCCCAGATTTTGGAGTTAAACCCAATAACTGCATTCACAATAGGAAGCTCAGAAAGGATGATTTGCTATTTGCTGGATTCTAGCTGGAACCAGCGAAGCTCCATTAGTTAAAGCATGGGAAGAAACAGTTGTAAGTAGTCTAGGATTTAAGTCAGGAAATAATGCTCCCTTCCCTACACACCTGACTATTCACCCCTCCAGAGAAAGATGAGTGGTGCTTCCTTACTTGAGTATAGACAAGAAACTTTTTTTCTTTTTTTCAGTAAAAGCATCTCTCATAAGGATGGCAGTTTAGCCTTTCCTCAGAGAATGGTATTATGTCTTGAGTTTTGCTGCTGGAACTGGTTTTGTGGCAAAACATGCTGATTAAACATATTCAAGCAGCAAAATGCCTAGTTCTGTTTCTGAACTATGCAACATAACCCAGAAGGCCAATAAACAGTCTCCCTAAATATCCCTGTCAGATCAGTACCAACATAATTCACAAAATTTAAGCCCATATGCTTTCTGACTAGAGTTACAGGGGCACCATTTAGGGAAGGCAGGAGGAGACCCCGAGTTGGGTTTTTTACCATATTTGGGTGAAGTTCGCAGCAGGGGGGAAGCTGCAGCCCCTTCTCCTCCCGTTGCCATCTGCAGCCATAGCATTGCCCCTTGCCCCTGACATGGAACTGCTGCTGGCAAAGCTGCTCAGGACTGGGAGCCTGAATCCCAATCTCCTGCGCAGAGCCAACAGGACCTCATGTTGGGGTGTCCCCCTCCCTCCTACCCATTGTGTAGCCAAGCAAGCAAAGCATGCCCCTCATCACAGCTCCTGCCTTGCGGAGCTGTCACCACTGTGCCAACTAGGGACTGAGCGCACAGCCAGCCCCAGAACAGCATGCCCCCCTCGGACACAGCCCCTCTCCGTACCCGAGCTACACCCCTCCCAGCCCCTAGCTACCCCCTGCCTGCACCCTGAGCTAGCCTCTCTGCACACAGCCCCTAGCTATCCCCTGCCTGCACCCTGTGCGGTTTTCAAACTTTTTGAGTTGAGACACACACACCCTTTGAGTTATAATTTTTGATTGCATCCCCCCTATTATTTGAAAAAAAGCCTGACAGCTTTCAGGTGCCTAAAGATAACCTTTAGAATCACGGTTAAAGTTGCCCCTTACCTACCGAAATCTGAAATAGTACCCCTGTTAGGGTACCCAAATTATGTATCCAGTCTATTCCCTAGTTATCACTTTTCCTTATTTTCAGCATCAGCATTAACCTTTTATTAAGAAGCGCACCAACTTCATGTAAAATTCAAGCTGCTGGTCGTGTGAAGGAGCACAGAGACCAGTAGACTTCCACAAGCTACACGATCAGGTCACTGCTGAAACCACTGGATGAGCTCACCTTATCTAGCACAGATGGAAGTCTTCTGCCTGCTGTTGAGGTTTAAGGGTTAACTGGATGTTGCTCAGTGCATCCCTCAACTAGTGCAAAAATCTTTATGCTTCTGACCTACTGAGGCCTAAGGCTAGGACGTCCAGGTGTCTGGTTTTTTACCAGAAAGTCAGGTTGAAAAGGGGACCTGATGGTGCAGATCAGACCGGACACCCAAAGTCCAGTTACTGAGGGGGCGGGGAGGCACCAAGTCATCACCTGCACCAGCCGCTACTCAGCCAGGGCTGCCTCCTACCTGATCGGGTGGCTGCAGATCCCAGCTCCAGCTCCACGCAGGGAGAGCAGGAGAGGGGAAAAGCAGTGAGCAATGGGGAAAGAGGAGTGAATGGGGCGGGGCCTTAGGGGAAGGGGCAGGGCAAGGGTGAGGCCTAGGGGTAGGGGTGGGGAAGGGACGGGGCTTTGGAGAGATGGGGAAGGGAAGGAGAGGTTGCAGAATTACTGCTGGTGTGTCTGGTTTTTAAATATTACAAAGGATAGAGTTGCCAACTTTCCATTTGCAGAAAACCAAACACCCTTGCCCCACCCCGCCCCCCCCGCCCCACCCCTTCTCTGAAGGCCCCGCTCGCTCACTCCATCCCCCTCCCTCCGTCACTCACTTTCCCCCACACTTGCTCATTTTCACCAGCTGGGGGTGCAGGCTCTGAGGTGGAGCTGGAGATGAGGGGTTTGGGGTGCAGGAGAGGGCTCTGGGCTGGGGCCAAGGGGTTCGGAATGTGGCAGGGGTTGGGGTGTGGGCTCTGGAGTGAGGCTAGAAATCAGGGATTCAGGGTTCAGGAAGGGCTCCGGGCTGAGGCACGGGGGTTGGGGTGTGGGAGGGGGTGAAGGCTCTGGGCTGGGGGTGCGGGCTCTGGGGCGGGGCCAGAGATGAGGTGTTTGGGGTGTAGGAGGGGGCTTCGGATTGGGACAGGTGTGTGTGGGGAGGGTGGGCTCTGGGCAGCGCTTACCTCAGGCGGCTCCCAGGAAGCTGCCGACATCTCCCTCTGTGTCCTAGGTGCAGGGGCTGCCCCCGCAGCTCCCATTGGCCACAGTTCCCAGCCAATGGGAGCTGCGGAGCCAGTACTGGAGCAGGGGAGCAGCACACGGAGCTTTCATGGCCACCCCTAAGCCTACGAGCCAGAGGAAGATGCCAGCAGCTTTCTGGGAGTCACTCAGGCAACCTGTCTGCCCCACTGCTTTCAATGGCCTGGTCAGCAGAGCCAACTGGGTTCCTTTTCAACCGGGCATTCCAGTCAAAAAACGGATGCCTGGCAACCCTACCAAGAATCACCCATTAGACCTGGAACTTGAAACAGAAAATAAAGCAAAGCAAACGTAAGATGAACAAAAAAAAAAAGTTTCAAGGGCAGCCTGCACTATGTCTTCCTAAAGGGAGGAATAAACCATTTCAGGACCAGTCTTACTCCCTTTAAAGTAAATGAAAAGTTTCTAGTTGCTTAAATGGGAGCAGCATCTGGCCCTCTATTGACAGTGGTTCTAAATACCTATTTGTACATTTTTAACCGAAGGATGCACCTCGTAGCTCTTTTAACGCCTCCTGCATTTTTTGAATGATACTAGATGAAACTCTAGTGAAGCAGATGGCACATTTGGCACTTACTGCTCTGATGCTGCATCCACAGGGTGAGCTAGGCTGCCCTTATTATGTCTGAATGGATCTGCAGAGCATGTTGAAAAGTCCTGACAGTGAGACAAACTCAACTGTGTTCTAGAGTGAAGGTTTTCTGTGTTTATCAGCCTGCCCTGCCCCTATTTCTGAACAGTTCCTCTGGTTGAGACCTCACAAATACTAGGGCTGAGAAAAGAATAATCACTTAGGGTTTTATAACATGAGAAAGTTGCAACATTTTAAGTCAAATTGTGTTTTAACTGGTGCAAGCCCATGTATGGAAACTTTTAATACAAAATAAGAGTGGCTTATTTGGGGTTAGCTTAAACAGATTCCTAATTGATCTACACTAATCAGAAATAAGCCACCCTTATACTGAAATGAGTGTCCACACAAGGTTTGTTTGCTGTGGTTTAACCAGATCGGTTCAAAGTCACTCCTTTAGTTAACGCAGTGTAGTTGTAGCCATGTCGGTCCCAGAACATTACAGAGACAAAGACCCGCCTTCTATCTTTAGTTAAAGCAGTGCAGTGTTCTCATATAGACCAGGACTTCTCTCTCACCACAAGAGCAGTATAGCAACAGTGAAATGTTCTGATTACTGGCACATACGCTTTTTGGTTTGGGGGAGTTTTTTGGTGCATTTTTTTTAAATGCACAATTTAAAAATGAACAGATTTTGTTGAAACTTTCCAAAAGAAATGGCCTCTGGGCAAAAGCTGAGCACAGAAATTTTCAGACGAAAAGGAATTTTGAGAGAATTATGAGCAGTTGGAAAGGGAGTTACACTGGATTTCAACCATAACTCAGCTGTCATTACAGTACCTCTTCAAGTGTGTGTGTGTGTGTGTGTGTGTGTGTGAGAGAGAGAGAGAGAGAGCAGTTACTCTCAGCCCTTCTGCAGAAGGCTGATCAATTTGAACGGTGGATCGGTATTTCCTCACACGCGCACACGCAATAATATGGTTCCATCAAGAGCCATATTGCCATGAAAGAGCCCTGTAAATGGGCTGGCGGGCTGCCTCCTGAGCATGCCCTTATGGCTTGAGATCACTCTTCAGCAGTCCTGCCTCAGTTTTCTCATGTCTCTTCAACTCAGGGCCCCTGAAACTACGAGACAAACTACGAGACAACACACCCCTCCTTGGAGCTGAGTTTATTAACATAACAAAATCAATCCCAAAACAAAAGTCCTCAAATCTTCAGCAACTCTTTCTCATTCACTCTGTCTTTCACACTGAGGTTTCCCCTCCCTGGAGTCTTTTTTCCTGAAGACTCAGGGTTTCCTGCTGGAGCTTACTCACTCCTAGCAGTCTCTATAATGTTTCTTTCCCTATTCTCTCCATCCCCCCAATTCTCTGAAGTGTCCTGTTCCTCTTTATAGGAGAATCAGCTCCTCCTTATCCAACTGGTTCTACTAATTAAACTGTACACCTCATCCCAGGTGTGGTAGGCAGGGCTACTTGTATGGGGCAGACCACTAAGCTTTAGAGGGGCAGGCTACCTCACTACAGTGCTCTTGAGGGAGGAATGGGTTCCATAGATCAGTGCCACACTTGCCAGTATTGCAGGTTTGAAGGAAGATGATGCCAAGGTGAGTGAGCACCACTCTAACCCAGTTCTCTCTATGCTATCTGTGCCCTTTTCTGATGCAGAGGGTTCCAATCCTGCCATCTGTTCTCAGGGAGAGGCTTCTGCAGGTTCCTGGAAGGGATAGGCTTATGCTAGTAAGCCACCTCTCTACCTGCCCAATGCCCCCAAACCCATATGCTTGAGCTTCCCTCCATCTGTGAAACTAGAGGAGAGCATCAGAGCCAAAGTGTCATAATCCCATGTTGACTGTTGCCAGGACTGCCATTGAAAAAAGATGGTATTAAAACTGACATGGTGGTGGTAATTAAGTATAATTAATTATACCTGGCGCACTAATCCATGTTGTTACTTTTAGTAATTATATCCTAATAATAGGAAACCTCATTACAGCTTTTTAGAGGAGGCCTGCAGATTTTTGTGAGATAATTAACTTGTTTTTACTGTGTTTCACCATTAGAGGGGTAAGTCTGAAAAGACGACACAACTTCCTGACGTAACCATTTCACGCTACTGGACATCTCAGAGCTGCCCCTTTTCCAAACCTCAAATGAGGAAGGTGGGAAGTTGAGTCTCACACTGACACTTCTCAAAAGAGAGAGGGAGAGAAAAGAATACACTGGAGCCTTCTTCACTCCTCATAGAAACGAGCAATACTTTTTTGCATGTTGTTGCTTCTGGCTTTGGAGTCCACCTTTAATTTTCAGTGTTTGAATTAGAAACTGGTGCACACTAAAATGCCACAACAGCAGATGCAGAATTACTGCGAGGTCCTGTATTCATACATTGAAACACAAATAAATGGGAAAGCATTTCCTCTTCAAGTTCCCGCTGTACAGACCTCACACTAAACAAGTAGTGTTTTTATATTTTACTTACTGGCTAGTTCCTTTGTTGACAGATTGGGGACAGCCCAGAGTAGCAAATGACAGAGATATAGATGACTGGACTTCTCTGGGTCTCACTGGGATGTGACTAGCTTTAAAGAATTATAATTGCTTCTAATCAATGCCCAACTGCATTAAGTCCACTTTAGATAAAGGTCTGATGCAGATTTGAAAAGTGAAATGATTTGGGGGCCGTAGGGAACTAAGCAGGCAATCTTCAAATTTCAAAAAACCTGGGGGATTTGTAATATGATAGATGGCTTGACTAGACATGCCATTTCCTATTTTCTGCTTTCATCTTTCAGACCAGATTGCACTAAACCACAAAACCATTGTGTGTCCCATGATTGATGTCATTGACCACAATCACTTTGGCTATGAGGCACAGGCGGGGGATGCCATGCGAGGAGCCTTCGACTGGGAAATGTACTACAAAAGAATACCGATTCCTCCAGAGCTCCAGAGGTCTGATCCCAGTGACCCCTTTGAGTAAGTAGCAGTAAAGGGAAGAGTTCGAGCAAAAGGCAGAGAGAGCAAATAAGGTAACTGTGATAACAGAAACACCAAGCCCAGGGCTTTCTAGACCAATTAGCCCTAATTAAAGGTAATAAAAGCAAAAAGCCACAAATGGCAGAACAGTGAGAAAAGGTCAGTGTAACAAGTTATGAAATAGCAGAGGGTGTGCTTGGATGCACAGAGTTCCCTTGCCTCTGGCATGTGTCAACAGGATGTCGGGGAGGAGGGCAGGGAAGAGGACTTTGTGCGTAAGAGAGAGACCAAGACAGAAACACATACTTGTAGTTAGTGGGAAAGAAGAGTTGGGAGAGGACAAGAAATAAATGTGACTATAGTTATTGTCTTCTTATTCCTCAGAATATTTCCTGAACATACTTTAGTTTGATTCTTTTGCTGAAGATTAATGCAATAGCTGCACCAATAGCTGAGTCCACATTCTGCTAGAAAAGGCTCTGTTTATGATGGATGGTATTGCTACTGTCTATGTATTGCTATAATTTAAACACAGTCCTATCAAAGCAGAACAATATCAAGCTGATTTGTAAATAATATCTGATAAGACCATGTCAGATCCTGGTATTGTATGGATCAGATAATTCATAGTAATGACCTACTAGTCTCCACAAAGCTGGATCTATTTTTATTTTATTTTATTCTTGTCATGTAAGGACAACATAGGATTTATCCTCATCAGCAGAGAGAGAAACCTGGCTTAGTTCATTAAACTTTCAGAATCAGTCATGCAGCTCACAACCCAGCAGGGCTGGCAATGAGATTTGCTCTGATGCTCTCATTGTCCATTACTGAAACTCAGCATTGTATCTAGACCTGCCATTCAGATTTGCACAGTCTAAAAACATCAAAAAAACTTTCTCTGGTCTCAAAGCCCAGCACTACCTAAAACATTGGGTCTGATTTGTGCAGAATGCAGCACCGTTTCCGTGGATTTGACAGGTTCTGTCCCAGGGGGAAGAGATGCTGATTCCTTGGGCTTATCTTCACTGCAAAGTTAAGTTGTGTTATAACTAGATTGCTCCAGTTATCTTGACCCTGTCTGCACACAAAGTCCCCTCACTCATGTGCAACGGTGTCAGAGCAACCACAATTTATTAGCTGCTAACACGACTACTCTGTAATGTGGATGCAGGATAGTGCTGCAACACAATGCTCAAGAGCCACTAGTCCTCCAATGCCTTCCCACTGGGAAATGTACTACAAAATGTACTCCCGATGCCTCCTATGTCCCTTGGACAGTCATCTTTGCTTGCCATCTACCTATTCCCTGCTTCCAGACCAGAAGTCACCTAGCACTTCGAATAGTCTAGTCCAGATTTCGAGCCCCACCTTTACACATGGCTTCCACCACCAACAATTGCAGTCCTCCAGCTCTTGTTCAGAGCTATTTTTTGTAACACTTGCATTTTTCTAATGTTTTGCAGTACTCAACTCTCAGAGGAGAGAAAAAAAAAGAATTAAAAGGGAGACATTAAATCAGTATGTTCTATTCAAAACAAAGAAATAATTAATGCATCTCCAGGCAGCCCTAGCTTTTATACTAGCAAGTCAAAGGCAGGTTTTCACTGTTTTCCTGTAGTCAATAAAATGGCAAAAATAAGCACTACAATATGGCATAGCAGATATTATCCTTAGAGTAATGGCACCTATAAGTCCCTATATAAACTTTTGAATTTTTTTGGATTCCAAAGGGATGGGTTAGAATAAAGTTCTCCATGGTTAAATATACCATTTAAACAATATGCAGACTGCTTCTGCAAAAGTTAATGTGTTTTTTAAAAGTTTATATCCAAAACAATGGTAAAATCTGGTAACTGAAGAAAGATGAGAAATGGTGTGTGCATTTAAGACAAAAACAAAGTGCATTGGGTGAAAAACAACTCTTGTATTTATTCACTATCTTTAAAAATATTATCTTTGTATAATGTCTTTTATAAAGAGGCATCATAAACAAGGACAGTCTACATGGTATATGTAGTCTAGTAATGTCAAAACAACCTGTAATACAGGCACAAGACAAGTAAAATACAATATCATACATATACAGGCAGCTTCTTTAGATGCTGTAATCTATAAAGCTGCCAGAGCCTTTCCCCACTGCCAGAGCCTTTTACTGTGGTGAGGGAAAGGCTCTGTCTGTGGGGAGACAGCAGAATACTATACTGTTAAAAATAGCAGTGTAGACATGGGAAGCACATCTTGTAGACAGCCTCTGTGGGGTACATATCCTAGGGTTCAGGTGTATCTTTACTTGCCTAAGCAGTGCCTCACCATCTACATTGCTATTTATACCTGTGCTGTGTGTACTCTACACAGTATCCAAGTGTAGACATGATGGTTGGCGGGGGATGGGTTTTTTTTGCCAATATAGTTATATTGGTACAAGCCCAAGTATGGACACAGTTATATGGGTACAAAGTGTCTTATAACAGTACAGCTTATTTTCCTTCCCATATGGAAATAGCTATCCCAGTAAAAACATCTTTAAATCAATACAACTGTGTCCACACTAGGGGACTGTCATAAATATAAAGGGAAGGGTAAACCCCTTTAAAATCCCTCCTGGCCAGAGGAAAAATCCTCTCACCTGTAAAGAGTTAAGAAGCTAAAGGTAACCTCGCTGGCACCTGACCAAAATGACCAATGAGGAGACAAGATACTTTCAAAAGCTGGGAGGAGGGAGAGAAACAAGGGTCTATGTGTCTGTCGGTATGCTGCTTTGCCAGGGATAGAACAGGAATGGAGTCTTAGAACTTTTAGTAAATAATCTAGCTAGGTATGTGTTAGATTATGATTTCTTTAAATGGCTGAGAAAAGAATTGTGCTGAATAGAATGACTATTTCTGTCTGTGTGTCTTTTTTGTAACTTAAGGTTTTGCCTAGAGGGATTCTCTATTTTTTGAATCTAATTACCCTGTAAGATACCTACCATCCTGATTTTTCAGGGGTGATTCCTTTACTCCTATTTACTTCTATTTCTATTAAAAGTCTTCTTGTAAGAAAACTGAATGCTTTTTCATTGTTCTCAGATCCAAGGGTTTGGGTCCGTGGTCACCTATGCAAATTGGTGAGGATTTTTACCAAACCTTTCCAAGGAAGTGGGGTGCAAGGGTTGGGAGGATTTTGGGGGGAAAGACATGTCCAAACTACGTTTCCCAGTAAACCCAGTTAGAGTTTGGTGGTGGCAGTGGTTATTCCAAGGACAAAGGATAAAATTAATTTGAACCTTGGGGAAGTTTTAACCTAAGCTGGTAAAAGTAAGCTTAGGAGGTTTTCATGCAGGTCCCCACATCTGTACCCTAGAGTTCAGAGTGGGGGAGGAACCTTGACAGGGACTATGCTGTACCAGTATAGTTAAAGCGGTTCAAATTTGCAGTGCAAACAAGGTTTTACGCCTTGTGTAGTTATAGAGCTCTGTGCAAAGTTTGCACAAAATGTTACTCAGTCAGAATGGTAGCATCTGACACTGACTGCCTTCATTCATCACAGATGTAAATTACTACACCAGGTGCAAGGAAGGATTTAATCAGGCCTGTAGTACTTGGCACCTCTGAGGTGATTTGAGTTCTCTATTCTCAGTAGACAATATCAGGTTTGATCCAGTGTTTACCAAAGGCAATGGAAGTCTTTCTGTTAACTTCCCAGGGACCACTACTTTACATCACAAACTGGGAGACAGAATACAAGGTAGCCATAGGGCTGCCACCTCTGAGTTACAAAAGAGGGGCCATTCTGAGCTAGGAGAGGGGAGTACAGAAGTGGGCAGCAGTGTGGGAGACAGGAGGTGGCTCCAGGAGGCGGAGCCGGGCCCCTGCTGAGCAGAAGCAGTCACCCCATGGTGAGGAACAGGGCACAGTGAAGCTGCTGACATGAGCTCTTTTTGCTCTCTTCATCAGCTTATTGGTCAGGTAGGAAGCAGTGGCTGCTTAAAGGCTCCTGACGGAAAGCCATGGAGCAGCAAGGACAGAGGGTGAGCAGCATCACCACATAGGAGGAAAAGGAAGAAGAGATCCCACTAGCAGCTGCTCGAGAGGTGACTCTGCTAACAAAAACCAGGACTTCTAATGTCCTGGAAAGGCTTCTATATTTCTTGGAACAGCTATCTCAAAAAAGGGGCAATCTTGGGAAAACCTGTTCCCTCTAAGCTGTGCGCGTGTGCACTCGCACACAGATCCTAAACCCCGCGCACATGGCGAAACACCGCATGCACAAAAATTTGCACAGAAGTACAAAAATTTGCACAGAAGAAATTTTTTGCACACACAGCCTGTCAAAAATTAGAGGGAACATTCGTGGCAACCCTAGGCATTTTGTGCTAGGTCAGTTCTTCCATTCAGAAGTACTTTCTTTCCAAGAACAAAATGGACCAAAGCATTGCTAAAAAGCAGCGTGGTTTTGCTTTGACTAGCTATTATTATTTTGTCATTCAAAGCCAGTACTGCTTTTCCTTATGCAGAAAAAATACAGCTTCTACTCCACTTATTTTCACAGGCTGAAAAATATCTGATGCTTTTAATACATAGCATATGACAAACAAGGTAAACATTACAAGCCTAGACCATCCGAAAGTTAATTGACCTTGACAGTTTTGGTAGCAGTAAAGTTGAACCATTTCCCTTTAGGTATGTGTGTACTGACATTAAAGGCAGATTCAACCAACAACACACAGCTATTCTGTGAGCAGTAGGGATTTTATTTTTATTTTGTTTTTTGTTAGGCTAAATATTTTGCCATTGGTATTCTAATAGCTGTACTTCTTGCCAACCGTTTCCGATCTGGGCAGATTCTTAATGAACTGAGAAATTGCCAACTTTTTAAATAAGATATCAGTAGTTAATAGCTATGTGATTCAAAAATGGTGGTGGTGGTTTTTTCTTTTTTGTTTTGGTTTGTTTTTTCTCCCCTATTGAAGATGCTGGCACAGTGTGTGTTTTAGCATGGAAGGTCACCTCAGCCTA